ATCACAGACCGTACCCTCGTTATCATCACAGTCCGTACCCTCGTTATCATCACAGTCCGTACCCTCGTTATCATCACAGTCCGCACCCTGTCTCTTATACACATCTAGATGTGTATAAGAGACAGTCCCGAAGGACACTCACCGGCTTGGGGCGGGAGTCCCGAAGGACACTCACCGGCTTGGGGCGGGAGTCCCGAAGGACACTCACCGGCTTGGGGCGGGAGTCCCGAAGGAAGACCTTGAGGTCGCCCCCCGACAGCAGCTCGAGGACGATGAAGCGTGGCAGTTTACCGAAGCAGACGCCGATGAAGTGCACGATGTTGGGGTGCTTGAACTTGGACATGATCAACGCCTCCATCAGGAAGTCCATCTCGGCCTGGTTGTTGGACATCTCCGTCAGCGTCTGTCGGGGGGAAAGCGGGACGTGTTATCGAATGTTTTAGGATGTTGACGTGATAGTAACATGTTATATTTGCAACATGCTCTGTTTGCAAGATGTGATCTTAGCAACATATTACGTTAGCAACAATATCTGTCACTACAATAAAACTGCAAGCCTACAACAACTGTCGTGACACTAGCAACTGCCACTACAATAGCATCTGTCACCACAATAACACCTATCACCACCATAACACCTATCACCACCATAACACCTATCACCACCATGACACCTGTCACCACCAAAACACCTGTCATCATCATAACACCTCTCATAACTATAACACCACCATAACACCTGTCACCACAATAACACCTGTCACCACAATAACACCTGTCACCACCATTAAACCTGTCATGGCAGTAATCTCGTGCCCAGTGGCAGTAATCTCGTGCCCAGTGGCGGTAATCTCGTGCCCAGTGGCAGTAATCTCGTGCCCAGTGGCAGTAATCATGGTCGCGATATCGGTGGCCATAGAGCGGACGCCAACCCTGCTGTACCACTAAGATAATTATAATGAAGATAGTGATAATGAAGATGATAATGAAGGTAATGATAGTGAAGATAATGATAATTAAAAGAATGATAATAAAGATAATTATAATGAAGGAATTGATAATGAAGATAATTTTATTGATGGGCATAGGTTTGCCTCCTCTCTTCCTCCGTACATATGAAATGAAGGCTTTGCAGTCGCTACATACACGCATAATAAAACTTACCTTCTGCATGTAGAAGAGATACGACAGGGAAATTATGAAGAAACTGCGAGACTGGCAGAAACTTCCCTTCCCACACGCACCACTCACTTGACGAGCGTAAGGTTCTGGCGGGGTATCTCCTTAAGGTCCTTGATGGTACACATGCACCACTCACTTGACCAGCGTAAGGTTCTGGCGTGGTATCTCCTTGAGGTCCTTGATGGTACGCATGCACCACTCACTTGACCAGCGTAAGGTTCTGGCGCGGTATCTCCTTGAGGTCCTTGATGGTACACATGCACCACTCACTTGACCAGCGTAAGGTTCTGGCGTGGTATCTCCTTGAGGTCCTTGATGGTACACATGCACCACTCACTTGACCAGCGTAAGGTTCTGGCGCGGTATCTCCTTAAGGTCCTTGATGGTACACATGCATCACTCACTTGACCAGCGTGAGGTTCTGGCGTGGTATCTCCTTGAGGTCCTTGATGGTACGCATGCACCACTCACTTGACCAGCGTAAGGTTCTGGCGTGGTATCTCCTTGAGGTCCTTGATGGTACAGGTGCCCCCGCCAAACTCGTAGTTGGGGTTGTACTCCGTGATGCCCGTCGACGCGCGGATCCGCTCGAGCTGCGAGTCCGGCCCGTCAACCAACGCATCCCGCAACCCCGATACCTTCTGGCGCTGGTACCGGTTGTCTGCGGTGGTAGGGGTGAGGGGTTAGTGGTGATGGTAGGGGTGAGGGGTTAGTGGTGGTGGTGGTGACACCTTCTGGCGCTGTTAGCGGTTGTCTGCGGTGGTAGGGGTGAGGGTCAGTGGTGGTTGTTTAAATTAGAATTGGCCCTCGAATGAGCATAGAACTCCATATTATAGGCCGACAAAATTAATGTCAGGGGAAATATTAATTAATGTTAATAAAAACAATATTTAGCGGGGGGAGTGATGGGTGACGTGCCAATACAGGAACGTTCGAGAGGTAGGAACGGATATTAGAATCATGAGTAATGTGATAAAGAATGTACTATTACAGTGAAGACATATACATAAAAGTACAATTAATTGAATTATTGGTGGCAGCAAAGTACTCATGGTAGTGACGGTACTCACAGCAGCAGATCGACGTGAGTGACGTGAGGATGACGATGAGGGCTCCCAGGACGATGAACACAACGTACGTCGTCTGACGGAGTAAGTTGGTGGCGTTCGCTGCGAACAGAAGATAACAGGCGCGTCAGGTGGAGATAACAGGAGCGTCAGGTGGAGATAACAGGAGCGTCAGGTGGAGATAACAGGAGGGTGGAGATAACAGGAGCGTCAGGTGGAGATAACAGGAGCGTCAGGTGGAGATAACAGGAGCGTCAGGTGGAGATAACAGGAGCGTCAGGAGGAGATAACAGGAGTGTCAGGAGGAGATAACAGGAGCGTCAGGAGGAGATAACAGGAGCGTCAGGAGGAGATAACAGGAGCGTCAGGAGGAGATAACAGGAGTGTCAGGAGGAGATAACAGGAGCGTCAGGAGGAGATAACAGGAGCGTCAGGAGGAGATAACAGGAGCGTCAGGAGGAGATAACAGGCTCAACGGAGATAAAAGCATCAACGGCCGTGACAACATCAACTCTAAGTACTCTATGGTACTATAAGTACTCTATGGTACTATAAGTACTCTATGGTGCTCTAAGTACTCTATGGTACTCTAACTACTTTAAGTACTCTATGGCACTGTAAGTACTCTATGTACTCCATGGTACTCTAAGGCACTCTAAGGTGATCCAAGTACTCCATGGTACTCACAGTGGCAGGAGTACCCATCGTCCTGCAGGAAGTACCCCGGGGAGCAGATGCACTCGTGGTTCTTGTGCTGCTCGTCGAGGTACAGGCAGTGGTGCTCGCAGCCGCACTCGCCCTGCCGGAACAAGTACCACACGGTCAGGTACCAACATTGCGGGGCCTAAGTACCATTCGGTCAAGTACCAATATGTCGGAGCTAATGTACCATACGGTCAAGTACCAACATGGCGGGGCCTAAGGACCATTCGGTCAAGTACCAATATGTCGGAGCTAATGTACCATACGGTCAAGTACCAACATGGCGGGGCCTAAGGACCACACGGTCAAGTACCAGCATGGCGGCGCCAAAGTACCATAAGGAAAGTAAGATAACTGTGCGCTGCATGAGAGTATGAGAAGAGTTGCCCAGCGGCCGCCCTCCAGACTCTAAGCCGAAGCTGACATGGAGCGGCTGATTTAGATGCTCCTTGAGCCCTATTTCAGAGTCGGGATGGCATTTAAATTTTGTTAGGGGCATGATCACGTTCGAGCGGGAGACCACGCGGTGTTGGCCGGCATGGTACTCGACCAAGTACCTACCCGCACCAAGATCCTCCTCGCCCCAAGTACCCTAAGTACCCCTACTCACGGAGACGGCGCGCACGATGTAGAGGGCGCCGGGGCCGAGGTTAGCGCCGGCGTCGGTGCGGGCGGCGACCCCCGTGGCGTAGTTGGTGCCCCCCTCCCCGTGGTGCCCGTGACCCCGCAAGCTCAACCCCCCTGCCCCCCCCCCAAGGGTACACGGTCAGTAAATAAAGGACGGCAAGTGCCACGGCAGGAAAGTATTTCGTGGCATCTTGAATTTTCCTAGCCCAAAAACTAACAAATTTTATATTAATTATAGATAATTATGTTAATTAAATTAAAATACACAATTTTTATCCAGTAAAGTTAAAGTCCAACTCGTGAACGTAATGCAAGTTCTTTTAAATAATAATAATAATAATAATAATAATAATAATAATAATAATAATAATAATCCCCGCTCTCCCCCACCCTCTTGCCGTTCACGCTGCCCCCGTTGCCTGCACCGGGGAAATTAAAGCAGACGTGAACGTGCAGAATTAAAAATTTTCCCAGGCTTAAAAGTGAACAACAAGATTTTGTTACACTCAGAAGAATAAGTGGATAATTTTGTCCAAGTAGTGACAGTTTTTTGCCCACTACGCGAGCAGCGACACCACTAGTGCACATAACCAGACACTAGTGCAGGTAACTAGACACTAGTACACGTAACTAGACACTAGTGCACGTACCTAGACACTAGCGTATGTGACTAGACAATAGTGCACGTAACTAGACACTAGTGCACGTAACTAGACACTAGTGCACGTAACTAGACACTAGTGCACGTAACTAGGACACTGGTACACGTAACTAGACACTAGTGCACGTACCTAGACACTAGTGCACGCAACTAGACACTAGTGCACGTAACTAGACACTAGTGCACGTAACTAGACACTAGTGCACGTAACTAGACACTGGTGCACGGAACAAGACACTAGTGCACGTAACTAGACACTGGTGCACGTAACTAGACACTCGTGCACGTAACTAGACACTAGTGCACGTAACAAGACACGTACTAGACACTAGTGCACGTAACTAGACACTAGTGCACGTAACCAGACACTAGCGCACGTAACAAGACACTAGTGCACGTAACTAGACACTAGTGCACGTAACTAAACACTAGTGCACGTAACTAGACACTAGTGCACGTAACTAGACACTAGTGCACGTAACTAGACACTAGTGCGCGTAACTAGACACTAGTGCACGTAACAAGGCACTAGTGCACGTAACTTGGCACTAGTGCACGTAACTAGACACTAGTGCACGTAACAAGACACTAGTGCACGTAACTAGACACTAGTGCACGTAACCAGACACTTGTGCACGTAACTAGACACTAGTGCACGTAACTAGACACTAGTACACGTAACTAGACACTAGTGCACGTAACTAGACACTAGTGCACGTAACAAGACACTAGTGCACGCAACTAGACACTAGTGCACGTAACTAGACACTAGTGCACGTGGCTAGACACTATCGCACGTAACTAGACACTAGTGCACTTAACTAGACACTAGTGCACGTAACTAGACACTAGTGCACGTAACTAGACACTAGTGCACGTAACCAGACACTAGTGCACGTACTAGACACTAGTGCACGTAACTAGACCCTTGTGCACGTAACTAGACACTAGTGCAGGTAACTAGACACTAGTGCACGTAACTAGACACTAGTGCAAGTAATTAGACACTAGTGCACGTAACTAGACACTAGTGCACGTAACTAGACACTAGTGTACGTAACTAGACACAAGTGCACGTAACTAGACTCAAGTGCACGTAACTAGACACTAGTGCACGTAACTAGATACTAGTGCACATAACTAGACACTAGTGCAGGTAACTAGAGACTAGTGCACGTAACTAGACACTAGTGCAGGTAACTAGACACTAGCCTATCACCCACTAGTGCACCCACCAGGACCAGTGCCACTAGTGACGTTGGAGAGGAGGAGGGCGGCGGTGGTGGGGGCGGTGGCGGTGGTGTTGGGGTTGTGCCCGCCGTCGGTGGCGGGGGAGACGCTCGTGTTGGTCCAGGCGAGCCCGCCGCCGCCGCCCGCCACCAGCAGCACACGCGGCGCCTGAGTCTCACCGTCGTTCTGGCGGCGGTGGGGGGAACCGGTTCAGGGGTCTAACAGACTGAACAAGCCTAACGGACTGAACAAGCCTAACGGACTGAACAAGCCTAACGGACTGAACAAGCCTAACGGACTGAACAAGCCTAACGGGCTGAACAAACCTAACGGGCTGACCAAGCCTAACGGGATGCCCAAGCCTATAACGGGCTGAACAAGCCTTCGTATTAAAAATAACCTTACATGGGTTCAACAGATCTTTGCACTTCAAAACAAAATAAATGTTATTAATTTGTTCAACTAGCCATCATTGAGACAGTATATCATCTTTACTCATGATTGACTTAATGTTTCCCAGCTGCGCTATCATCAGCATGTCTGAACCTCATGTATATTTTTGCGACGTTATGAATGATAAACCTTTCAACATTGGCAATCATCCGTTTAACTTCTCGCACAAAACTCCTTGAAACAAAAGATATAAGCGAACTAATAGTTTTTTTTGTGCATGCAGTCCGCTTCGAAAAAAAGGATGTCGGTCAGCTGAAGTTCATCCAGTTTTGGTCTATCCTTCATGGGTCTAATCAGCTGGGTGTCGATCCAGCTTTGGCCGATGCACGATCGAGAGATAGAGTCTCTCCCAGCAGCTGTCTATCCAGCTGGTGTCTCTCCAAATGAATTTAAAAAATAACGGCCTAACCAGCAGAGATAAAAACAGCTAGGAATTAACTATCAGAAGTCTGAAAAACGTGGTTCGATCTCGCTGTGGTCCAGCCATTAGGGTCCAATAGGCAACAGCTTATCTAGTAGGGGTCTATTCAGCAGGGTCTGACTTCGCGCCTCAAAAAACAACCTCAAGTCTCCCTGAATGAATTAATGTGGTAATAAAGTCACGTATGAGTGACAAGCTCAACACAAATGATGATACTCACGACAAAGACGAAGGTGGCGCCCCCTCCGCCGCCACCGCCCCCCACGGGGGACGGGCTGCGCATGTTGTTCAGCTTCGAGAGGCTCGAGTCTGAGCGCTCACACGCCTCCGTGTCGGGCGGGTCGGCGCGCTCTGAGCAGATGGCGCGGTGGTCCGACGCCTGCGGGGGTAGGGGGGGTGATAAAAAGGCACATCAGTGTCACCGTGGACGAATGTGTCCTAAACGTGTCAGCGTTCCTGTGGACGTTCTAAACGTGCCATAAGCCGTGCCACGTCCTATACGTGTCATAAGACGTGTCACGTCCTAAAGCCGTCAAGTCCTATATACGTGTCATAAGGTCATGAGCGACAAGGGGCGACATTATATCGGTAGATCTTTGAGCACTTATTACCTGTTGTATACACAAGTGTTATTTGCTGTACAAATAACTGCTTCACAGTTAAGTACTGCACACTAACTGCTGCACACTTTGCACCGTTGTAACTACTGTATCGAGAACTGCAGCAGTTACGTCACTAACTGCACAAGTTATGTCACTTAATAGATTTACGATTGCTTCATTCATAATGCACAGCCCAGATTTGGCCTTGACATTCCAGTGAATTGGAACAGCGCTGCAAAATTAAGATTATCGCTCCATGCACTTTTATTTTACCTGCAGAGAGCGATACTATTTACGAATTGTCGTACAATCACAGTATTGTTCCAGCGATAAAGCCGCCACAACATCCAACAGTTTACCATTCCAGTTCTGTTCCAGCGATAAAGCCGCCACAACATCCAACAGTTTACCATTCCAGTTCTGTTCCAGCGATAAAGCCGCCACAACATCCAACAGTTTGCCATTCCAGTTTTGTTCCAGCGATAAAGCCGCCACAACATCTATCGTCCATCAGGCGATGTTGTCACGGTAGCTCTTCTTCCTACGCATCCTCACGACGCCTACGCCGTGAAATATTAAAGCGGCTAGGGAGGACTGTTGTAGCGGATGAAGTGGATAAGCGATGAGGTGGATAAAGTGGATAGGCGATAAAGTGGATAAGTGATGACAGTTTTCCGTCCGTAACAAGGAGGCCATCAATCCTCCGGTGGCGGCCAAAAGTCGCCAATGGTCCAAATTGCATCCCAAGATTCGCGGTTCAAGTGCGTAGGAAGTAGTCTCAGGGCAGGCATTGTCGGGCACTGTGATGCATCGTTTGGGCTTTCAATGCCAAGTCTCAGAAGCAAATTCGTTGCTATGAAATTTCTCGCTGTATTTTGATCGGATAATAGTATTAAGATGACGTGATTACTTAAATCATAAATTTACCAAAAATTTGAAAGCGAAGAAAATAGTTAACAAATCACCATTTCTTTTTAAGAGTAAACGTTTCGGAGTCCAGCTCCATCGTCCGTTAAGGAGCTAGAACACAAGTACAAACAATTAGTGAACTAAAATTTACATTGAAGATTTTAAAACATAAATCGACAAATGAAAATGAAGCCTATCTATTTAGATTTCAAGAGGATAGGAACTGAAGGCGGTATTTAAAATAGGCTTCTGTTTAAAATTTAATTAAGATGTTAGTGTTCGCTGGCCAGAAACACCGGCCGTGGAAGCTAAAAATTCCCGGTTTCCGATAGCGATTTTTGAGTTTTAGCTTCCACAGCCGGTGGTTCTGGCCTGCGAACACCAAAATCCTTATTTATTTTTAAACAGAAGCCTAGTTTAAATGCCGCCAACAGTTTCTATCTTCTTGAAATTATAAGTAAATAGGCTACCTGCACAGGGTTATTTAATTTCTACTTGCTTTCATTTGCTGATTTATGTTTCAAAATCTTCAATGCGAATTTTACTTCATTAGTTGTTTGTACGTGTGTTCTAGCTCTTGAACAGATGATGGAGCTGGACTCCGAAACATTTTCTCTCAAAAGGAAATGGTGATTTTTTTGGACAATTTTCCTCGCTTTTCAATTCTTCGGAAATTTCTCACACTTATGCTTCAAAAAACTTTAGAACACTTGGTGTCATATACCAAATTAGGCAATTGGGAAGAATTTCTAAAATTTCTTATTGCTGAGCTGTAGTTGTTTTACAACAAATTTTCTAATGACGAAAGTTAAGTGAAGTAGCGATTAAGACAATAATTGACTTCATATGTCATAATGAACTTTAAAGATGCTCGATGACACGCACATTATAGGCATGTCACAGTCACATTCTTCACTTTTGCGGTCATCAGACTTTCAATATTTCCTACTTAATTCATTTATGACACAAATTTTATTATATAAATTTGGGATTATAATCCACTATGAATTATCATCTCTTTTTTGATGTTCATAATTATTATTCATTACATTTCCATTTAATATCATTGAATTCACTCCTTTCTATAATCATACTTATTCCATCGTTTCAGCTGTTGTCGATAGCTGTTCCGGCCATGCCGTGGACGCTATTTTACTATGCACGATAACAGCGATAACAGACATAGGCTACCGATATAGCATTCATTGTTATGATATTAAATATAGAGAGCACGGCTCAGCCTGCCCAAGTAGCGCGCGTTTGGTTAAAGATAATCGGGGATATTTCCTATTACAAATAAAATAGTTTGAAATCGTAAATCATTTATAAAAGCCAGCTGATTAATAAATATTTAAAAATAATACAGCATAACGTGCTAATAAACCGTAACTAGATTGAAGATTATGACTATAGATTATAGTTTTCGGCGGAAAAATTTAGAAAAACATCTGAATTAGGAATTATTTTCTAATGTGTGAGTAATCATATTAAAATGAACAAAGGCATGATATATTTCACGTGTATATCGCCGATTTGCTTTTGCTTTCATTGTACTGAATTAGAGCTCGTAGAATTCGTGGTCAGATAAGAGTAATAACACATGCGATGTTTCGACGCACGCTGAATTCAACAAAAAATTAGATCAGTACTCACTGCAGTGAGTGACAGAGAGCGCATTTTCTCGTCCGTCCATGAATTCACGGACGGACGGACATGACGAGCAGAATAGCGCCTTTTTTCCCATAAATGAGAAAATGCGCTAAAAATAGCGTAAAAAATTTTAGTAATATAACCAAGATATAATAAATATTGCTGGAAAAAAAAATAATAAAAATTATACTGACCATGACATCGACGCAGGCAGAGACGCCCTCGTGGCCCACGAGCACGTGGATGCTGGAGTCTCTGGTGAAGTAGAACGCCCCCCTTGCCGCCCCCCCACGTGTGCGTAGGTCCTGCGTCTTGGGGAGGAAGGAGGAGTGAGGGGTGGAGGAAGGTGGGATGAGGGGTGGAGGAAGGTGGGGTGAGGGGTGTAGGAAGGTGGGGTGAGGGGTGTAGGAAGGTGGGGTGAGGGGTGGAGGAAGGTGGGGTTATGAGTAGAAATATATGGGGTGAGGGTATGATGAAGGTGGGGTGAGGAGTGCAGAAACGAGATAGAAGAGGACGTGGTAAGCACATGGTAATTTTTAGACCCCAAGGCGGACATATTGGCTTCATCCCGGCCCTAGTGCTGCACTTCTATCAACATGTCCGGCTCCGGCCCGTCTCAAAACCTGCTCTGGATTGTACCTCTACTGAACAATTCTTCATAGTATTAGAAAATCAAAGCGAGAGGTGGACTAAACTACATGGTACACATGGTACTCACATGTACCAGCCGTCCCTAGGTACCATCCAGGTCTGGTAGCCTGGTAGGGACTGGGAAGGGGGCCGGACGATGGGCTTGGGGGGCCGGAAGTCCGGGGAGTTGTAGTAGGAAGTGCACTGCTCCACGCTGGGGCCTTCTCTGCCCTGCGCCCCACATGTGCCCACCTTCCACACTGGGGGAGCGGGGGGATGGGAAAGTTTTAGTACATGGGAAATGCAGTACATTAGTACCTGAGTGAGACTTGAAATGGATTAATTTGATCCGGTTTTTGATTAATTAATAGTGTTGATTAAAATTACCATGAATATTAATGAAATTGTAGGTGCTTTGCCCTACTTTATAATTATATCCATGGGAAATGCAGTACATTAGTACCTGAGCATGGCTTGAAATGGATTCATTTGATCGGTAATTGATTAATAATGTTGAATAAAATTACCATGAATATTAAACAAATTATGAGTGCCATACTTTACAATTATATTTAATTACATGAAAACTTAAAGTGCAGTATAAACAAATTTGAAGAAAATGCCAAGATGATTAAACTAAATTTAATAACGTCAAGGAGACAAGCTCCATCACTAATCCTGGTCTAAATTATAGGCAGTTCTAAAAAAATCATATAAAAAAGATTCACAAGCAAAATAAATAATAGGAATAAGAAACATGATGATTTATACTAGGAGGTAAGCCACAAATACCTAATTTAATAATTTTAAATGCTGCGACTTAAGTTGGTCGTTGAAATTCCTTCATTCAATAAGATGAATTTGACGACTTTTAATTTCTTAATGAATTGCTGGTTAATACACAATATAGAGAAGGAGTATGTCTCATAATGGTATTCCTACCAGGGCAGTCAATTGTGACTCACCGTTGTCCCCAGGGTAGGGGAGGGTGGTGAGGTCGGGGTTGGGGGAGTCTGTCCCTGTGGGGGGACAAGGGGGCGGGTGAGTGCAACATTGGGACCTCAGCGTCCCTAACTTCAATAATGTCGTTACACAAACATATAAAGAAAACACATACACAAATATCTTTAGAAAACACACACAAAGCATATTTCTATGATATTTTACTACAAGTACCAACGCGAGGCACCAAGCCATTATTTTGTGCGTTCACTCAAACCAGCACACCTACACATAATACACACACAAACACACACCCTAACACAACACTCACACTTTACCTAAAAAACATTCGCTTACACACAACACACACCTCCAGACAATACACCCCCTACACAATACACCCTACACAGCACACACCTACACAACACACACCTACACATCAAACCCACACACAGGACTCACCCAGAACAACAGGAGGCTCGGGGCAGGATTTCTCTTGTTTTTCCGCCTCCGGGATTCCTGTGGGAATAATTTATTCTCTGAGCTTAGGATTTCATAGCAAACTATTAGCAGGCACCCATATTAAATCCTGCCTGACGTACGATGGTTCAGACCAGCGACCTGGGGCCATACTTTCAAAATTCGCCAAGTGAACGTAAGTACAATTACGCTCTATTTTCTTGTCTATGATTGGTGGATTTAGCTTGAAAGACCGTCAATGATTGGCTGATGAACTTACGATCTCTTAAATTTTTCGGAAGTATGGGTCCTGGTGGCGGGAGTGGTGCTGATCAGCTGAGGTACGACAACAACTGAATTATTCAGACCAAGATAATCGTTTTATCAGAATCCTGAATAAGCCAATCACTGAGCATGGAGGAGGAGGATTCTAATTACAGTTAATGGCACATAATCAATTCAGTGGGAGTTGATTTTAGCAAGGTTCGTGTGGGAGAAATAACAGGCTGGGGCCAGTGCTCTAAGACGACAAAGGGCTTCTAGAGGAGCAAGGGGTTATTGGAGAAGAAGGGCTTCTAGAGGAGCAAGGGGTTATTGGAGAAGAAGGGCTTCTAGAGGAGCAAGGGGTTATTGGAGAAGAAGGGCTTCTAGAGGAGTAAGGGGTTATTGGAGAAGAAGGGCTTCTAGAGGAGTAAGGGGTTATTGGAGAAGAAGGGCTTCTAGAGGAGTAAGGGGTTATTGGAGAAGAAGGGCTTCTAGAGGAGTAAGGGGTTATTGGAGAAGAAGGGCTTCTAGAGGAGTAAGGGGTTATT